AGGGTATAAAAGAAACAACATTTAGCCCGCGGAGGGAAGACTCTGGGTGCAACTACTAAGGTTAACACTCATGATTTCTATGTATTCTGACATAGTAAGTGCTGAGGCCTTTAGGCTACCTCTTTGAGCTTTACAGCCTCTCACAGAAATTGGTTTTCAACATTCAAAGATAAATATACTAAGTGCAGAGAGTGATGTTAACTAAGTAGTTTGTTCAAAGGTGCGGTGAATTAAGTGGAAGAGCTGGGATTTGAATCTAGGACTTTCTGATGCCAAAGTCCAGGCTTGTGACCCAGGCATCGCAGGCTACAGGAGGTGGAGCTGAAGAGCTATAGTTGAGGGCTGGGCAGAGGAGCTGAGGAGTCATTGCTGAGCTGTACCGGGGAGAGAGTGGGGCAGCCTCTACTCTTTGGCCTGACTCAGAACCCGTGCAGAGCCCTGCAGACTTGGATCATGACCTATCCTTCTTCTTTTTCCCTGGAAAGTACAGATTACAGATTACCTGCCAGCCATCAGGCAAATAAGTCATGGCCCCTGAAAAGTCTCATCCAGAAGCATACCTGAGGAATAGGTGCGTGTGTGCACACGTGCATGTGTGCATGCGTGTGTGTGTGTACACATAAAGCAGGGACTATTCTAGAGAGGTTCCTAGTCATGGGCCATTAGTAATAAGCCTTGCTGTGGCTTATAAATTTATTAGGCAAACTGAGTGTAATTAAAATCCAGGATTGGGGAAGGGGAGCAGCGGGCCATTGTTTCCTTTCCTTCTTTAGAGATCCAGGCCCAGTTACCGATGGGGATAATTAGCAGAGTCCAAACACAGAAGGAATTAATACTCCTGAAAAAGCTGTGATGAGGAGAGACAATGCTGAGCTAATTACGGCTGCACCATGCTTTATGACTGGGCGCCTGCTTCCACCATCATTAGGGGATTCAGAGATAAATCAGAGACTAATGTGGAGTATTGCAGCTAACAGAGCATTGGCACTAATTTAGCAATTATTAGTATTATTATTTTGGCAGATGGTAACTGTACCTCTCTGCCTGGTTGGTCAGGGGATTTGGCCTCTCTGGGTGGGGGATTAAGGCTGGAGCAATGGAGGGGCTGGCAGAAAGAAGCCCAGGAAGATCCTTTTCCCTTTGTGCTCCTCTCCCTTTTTGTAGTAACACCTCATGAGAGGGGAGAGTTGTGTGGTCCTTGGAGAACAAGAACTAGTTCAGTGCTCCGGAGGGATGAGGTGTCCTTGTACCTCATCTGGACGCTCTGTTTGTGTCTGCTATCAAAGGTCCCTCCAATTGCAGCTCCTGAAGTAGCCCAGTCCTTGGGGGTGACTTTACCTGTGCCAGACAGGCAGGGGTGCCACCCAGCTCATTTAGGATGTTCTCTTACTATGCCTTTTCTGATTCTAGACAGCCCTACACAGACCCTAAGGAAAGTTAGCCTGATCCATTTACCTCAACCCCAGCCACCTGCTCACCCGCACCCTGCTCCCAAACTCTATGGACAGGGAAAACAAAACAAAGTTAACATGGGAAAAGAACACATCCTTTGTACAGAGCTTGAAGGGTTGAAGCACACTGGATCTATGTATTCCCCACAGTCAGAGGAAGAAGAGTGCTAGATCTGCAAATCTGAGCACTCTAGAAGCCCTAGGTATTGAAACTTGCTTCAAGAATCCTTGAGCTTCTTGTACAGCAATTAACCAGTAAGAAGAATATATGCAGTGTATTATTTGTTGAAACTGTACTTCCGATTTGATTTGAAACTGTCTCATTGCTATATGTTTATCAATAAAACTGTAGAAAAAAAGAAAAAAAAAAAAAAGAATCCTTGAGCTAAAAACCCAAGAGAGTCAGAATACTACCCCGCAGTTCTTCAGGATCCTGCATTGCCCCTTTCCTCAAAGGAGGCAAGATTCCCTTCTTTCAGCAAAGGGTGAGGGAGTGACTGATTATTCGGCTGTAAAATGTTGTGCATTTTCATTTGCCATTGAACACAGGAAAAAACAAACAAACCAACCCAAAAACTGTGTTGCAAAAGGCCAACTTGAGAGCCAACTTACAGAGCTTCTCCAGAGTCACTAGCAAAGTGAACGAACGTCACATCCATCTCTTGGCCACAGGTAAGCTGAGAATAGCCACAGCCACTTCTGCCGGCCAGCTTGGGGAGGCATAGAGCATCTCTAGACCTCTGCTCATTACCCTCAGTCCAGAATCCCCTCTTCCCACACCCAGCCTTCTGCAAATCCGCCTGTGGCAAAAGTTGACTCACTTCCAAGAGGAAGAAAATGGAGAACTTTCTCTAGTGTCTAGTTCGGAGGCATATAAAGGAGGAGACCAGACTCTTTGCTTTAGGGTTCTTAAAGGAAAAGGGAAAGTTCCTTTTATTTGGGGCAGTTTGGGTACAGATGCTTGCAAGTCAGGGTCTGATTAACTGAGATTTCTGGTGCAATTCCCAGCATAGATCTTGGCACATAAGAGGGTCCCAGTAAATGCTCAGGGAGTCTGAATCTCAGGGTGTTACTAGAAATCCTGCAAGCTAGTCTTAGAACAGAAGGAAGGCAAGCAAGGGAAAAACATAAAATGGTAAAGGGAGCCGAGCATGCTCCACTCACTTGCATTTTTCATAAAACTGCAGATGAAAATGGACCCAGACACCAGCTCTGGGATATAAAGGATAGGTTGGGAGGTAGGATTCCCAGGGCCCTGAACTTCACTGCAGCTCCTCAGCCCCTGTGCTCCCCCAAATCCCTGAGGTCTCATAGCCACTCTCAACCACTTTCATTTTCTGTGATCCAGGGTCTCCTCTTGCCTGCCTCTGCTATTTCTTTCAGCCTCCCAGCTTGGCCCCTAGGCTTCCTGGGGTTTGTGACTCAGCAGTCAAAGTTAAAGTTCCCCAGGGCTGACAACTCAAACTTGCCTTCTGAATCAGCCTGCAGGGAAAGCATACTGGTTCATCTGGCACTTCTGGCTCTCAACCCTCAGGCTTCTCCAGCCCTCAACCTGGTCACTCAGGCACCTCTCCTTTCAGGCTAAAGGGCCTCCTTCAGGAGTCAAAATGCCAGGCTTTTTCCTCTAGGAGGATTTACCTCACACATACACACCAACAGCCTTCATCCCCACAGGCAGTGTTTCTACCCTGGACAGAGGGGAGGGACAGCTTTTGTCCACCAGGTGAAACTCGACAGGTGCATCCTCACTCTCTAGGCTCTGAAGGCTGGGACCACCACTGTAGCACCACTGGCAGTGGAAAAGGTGGAAGGATTCTAGGGAAGGGGGATGGGGAGAAAGTGAGTCCTTGACTTGGGGAAATTTCTGTCTTGTGGGTGTATGCAGAGTTGGGCAGTGAGATGGTACAAGAGAACCGGAGTCTAATAATACTTGCTGAGTCCAAGCATTTCTGAGAATCTTGAGGGGGAGAATCAACCTCCCTAACCTCCATCACTATACTACCCTCTAGAAAAAGTTCTTCTCATCTCCATCTCTTCTGCTGCAATAATCAACTCATCAATCAAATATCATTGCCAGGGCCAGAGACCAGTGCCCTCCACAACTCACACAGGTCTGAGGCGGGCTCCACTCTTCCGAGACTGGATCCAGCGAACTGGCCTCCACCCTCAGGCTCCCTTGGCCATCTCATCCTTCCACCAATGACTGTTTTTAACCGGAATCTGCCTCCATCTCCGTGACCCTTCACCCCAAAGGAAAACAGGACTCTAGCACCTGCAGCCCTGAGATTACCCCACCTGTACCAGCTCTGGGAGTCACTGTCCCTGTTCTTGGCCGCTAGTCCCTGGAGAGACAGAGGGGGAGCAAAGTCCCGCTCTTGAGGCCCCCTCCTCCCTTTCCTGAGCTGTTGGTGAGGAGCCCCGAGGCCCAGCACCACTAGGGTCGAGGATGGGGACAATGAGGGGTACGTAGAGTGCAGAGCCCCAATGAACCCCGGCGTCTCGGTCCCTGCAGGGTCTCCCCACCCCCACAACGCATCCTCTCGCGGCCTCGCAGCGCCCCAGCCCCGCCCTCCCGGAGGGGCCGCGACCCGCGCTCTCCCGCCCAGGACCCTCCAGACCTCGCGACAAAGCGTCTTCCCCGCAGGCAGCGAGCGCGGCCGCAGGACACCGGTGCCGCAGGTAAACACCGAGCCAGCCGGCTGTACCGGGCCGACCCCTGCCGCTCCCGCCGCCAGCGCGAGACACGCCACTCCCGCTGTCGCGACTCCCCGGGAGACGTCGCAGCCGCGGGGCTCGGGTCGGGACTCACCGGCTCCGGCTAGCTCGGCTCGGCCCGAGGCTGTGTCCGGCGCGGGGTCCGCGGCGCGGGCGGGAGGAGCCCTCTTGGCAAAGTCGGCGAGAGGCACCGGCCCAGCCGCGCACCCGCCCGGAGTCCGAGTGAGTCACGGAGACCGAGTGAGCGAGTTATAGGGGCGCGGGGGGTGGGGTGGGGGGACGCCGGCACCTCCCCCACCCGCCCCCGCCCCGCCCCGCCCCCGCGGAGCCGCTCGCAGCCGAGAGCCGGGCGCAGAGACCTCGTGCCGGCCGCAGCCCCAAGTTTCTCCCAGCCTCGGGGGACTCGGGCACACCGGCTAACCATGAGCCCTAGAACCTGGATCCCTGGGGACGACCAGCTCTCCGCCGCCAGGACGGCCCTGGCTCCCGCTCGGTGCACCGACCCCTCCCCTGGCAGATTGCCGGCTGGGCGAGCGAGGGACGCGAGGGAAACTGAGGCCGCACGGCGCCTCGTCCCGGAGCTGCTCTCTGCGCTGGGCCTTCAACCCCACAGTACCGCGAGCAAGGCCGAGGGGTGTTCTCCCTCCCAGGGCCCTTCCGGGGCTTTCTGTGCCCGGTGGGCGGTGGGCGATGGGCCGGGCACGGGCTCAGCCTGGCGCCAGATCCCGATCCCGAGCTGGAGTTTTCGCTCCGGCTTCTGGGGCTCTCTGGATCGCTGCTTTGGAAGGGGGCCCCGAACTCGGATCTAGCAAGGGGGGCCGGGGCTCCCGTTACCTGCGTCGGCGGCGCTTGGACTTCTCTCCGGGGGCTGCTGCTCGAAGCTCCGACAAGTCTCCACGTCCAGCCCGAGAGGGGGCGGCCGGGCCCGGCACAGCGAGGCCAGGACCGCGAGCGCCGCCTGGCACCGAGGCCCCCCGGCGCCCCCCACCTCGCTCATGCCTCGGACCCCCAAGTCCGCCGAGCCCAGCTCGAACCCACGCCGCGGCCGGGCTGGGGCGGGCACGGGCACGGCGCCCCAGAAGACCCTCCCCGCAGCGGCCCCCTGCGGCTCGTTCGGCTTTTAATCACTTTCCCCGCAGGGTCCCCGCCCCTCACGTGGCATTCCACGGCAGCCGACAAGTCTGGCGCCTCCGGCCGCCCCCTCCACACTCGGGGCTGGCCAGGGTCCGGACAGGTTCCAGCCCCTCTGTGCCGCGGGAATGGAGGCCGGGGGGTGGGGGGAGCCAGAGTCTGGCTCTGCACCCATTACCTGGTGTGACCTTGGTCCTTTTGGGCCTCAGTTTTTCCCTCCGTAAAAGAGGTACAGTATAATGAGTAGGAGTGTTTCATGGCCTCCCTGGGGGATTTAAAGGTAGTGCTTGAGGAAACTGCCACATGCCACCCAAGTGGCAGCAAAATAGATAACCCCACAAGAGATGTGAGTGGGAACACCTTGGCGGAGGATCCTGAGGGAAGGAGCTAGTCGGGCTTGCTTTAAGTTCCAGCCTTGGAGGCAGAAGACCCCAAGACAGCAGAGCGATGCAAACTGCAAAGAAGACTTTCCAAGCTCCGCAATCCTGCGGTCCCTGGTACCGCACGTTGCTATGGCAACGGGAGGCAGCGGCCATCTCTCTCCATGGCAACGGGAGGGGAAAGTTTCTGGCGAATAGGAGGAATGAGGGGATTTCAAGAAGGTGCTCTGTTCCCGCCAGATCCACCTCCCTGCATCAGTAAAATGCTATCACAAATAATGGTCTCTTTTTCAGTTAAGCATAATAAGGACTAGAAAGACTGAAAACTGAACGGGAGGCTTGAAGCTAGACTTTAAAAAGCAGAGCTTCCTCAGGAGCTGCGAGGTGAGACCCAGAGGCCAGTTAGTTGAGTGAGGAGCTTCCAGTATGCCTCACTTAGCCTTGGGAGTCCATGGGCCATCGCTAAGAGGCAGGCGGCTCGGGCCCTGCAGGGCGCTATTACAGGAGCCTACGGTTCTCCACTTGTTAGCAGTATGGGCCCTTCCTATGTGGGGCTCACCGGAAGCTTTCCCGGAAGCTATCCCCAGCCATGGTATGCGAGGACATATCGAAAACTTAAGCAGCGGCCTTCCTAAAGCACGGGGGGCGTGCCTCCGGGGGTGGGGAGAAGGCGGTCTCCTAATTAACATGCTAATTGGAAGTGGCTGACTTTCTGAAGAGTGGAGATTCTGGAGTCCCAGCTCCTGAAGGTTTCCATTCTGCACCATCTGCTCCAGTCGACCCTCCTAGTTGTGAGTCCTAGGCAGCTAGTGCCATGGGCACCAAGGGCCGGGCAGAAAGGTAGTGCTGGCCTAGTCCGGCGATTTCTGCACTCTGCACGCGCCCTGGCTCTGTCCACGGTGCTGAAGGACCAGTTGGTGCAACCATCGCTTTACTGGGTGGAGGGAGGGGTTAGGGCACTTGGCGGCAGTTGCGGAGGGAGGGGGGATTCAGGGCCACGTGAAGTTCACAGAGCCCACCTGGACCCCTGGCGCCTGTCATTTGATACATCTAGGAACTAAAGTGGGAGGGACAGACAAGACATGATCTAGGCCGCCTTTGCGCTGGTGGTGCTGGGTTGGGGATTCAAGAACACATAAGGTTCTGATTCCCTGCTTGTATTCCTGCTGCTTCGAAAACCTCACCTGAGCAGCACAGCGGGCCCCATCAGTTTCCCTTCCATCACCTAACGTAGACCTCAGCACCCAGGAGAGATAGAAGCTCCGAGGCTTCCGGCTACATACTCATTAGCAGTTTCTGAAGCTGCAGGTTTGTGTTTATATAAAACACAACCGGAGACGGACTGCTCTCTGCCCGTGTTTATGGCAACTCTGTCACTCCGCGGCGATTTTCCCTCCCCCTGTCGAGTTCCTGGGGAAATTCACAGAACAAAGCGCCTTGTTTTGCCTTTGCAGAGAATGAAAAAGCACAGGACCGGTCCAAGGGCCCAGGCTGGTGATGCAGGGCAATCAATATTATGCTTAGATCGAGTGGGGAATTTGCATCCAAACTGAAGGCAAAGGAGCCTGTTCCGGAGCAGAGCAGGTGGCAGGAGCTGAGAATTAACAGATAATTTCTCATTGTTCCGGGATCCAGCCTCCACACTCGGCAGGCGGTTCTGCAGCATCCCTGGTGCTCCAGCAGCAGCTCTGGACCTGGCATTTCTCAACCTAACAGAGCAAAGGAAAGTCTGTCCCGACAGGGATATGGGAGGAGGCTGGAGCTCCCAGGTTCCTATTAAATTTGGAGTACAGAATTGAGGCTGTGTGAGGCAGACAGAGAGAAAGAAACAGAGACAGATACAGAGACAGGAGAAAGAAAAGCAGACAGATATGGAGAAGCTGAGATACATAGATGGCAATAGAAATACAAAGAACAGAGACACAGAGGCAGAGAGATAGATGCACATATAAAGGGACATACATTCAGATAGAGACATTTAAAAAGATTTTTCAGTGTTGAGACCACTCTAGTTGTTCTTTTTGTGTCCCATCCTCCTATCAGTTGCTGATGTCATCATGTCCACGTAATCAGCTACAAAGCAGTAAACAAGCAAACAAACAAACAAAAAACAAGTAAAAATGGGGACTTATCCTCTATTCCCTTTCTCCAAAAGCCCAACCTCAAGCACATCCTTGCTTCTTCCCACAAGAAGAGGCAAAATTCAGACTACTAGAGTTCCACCCAAACCTTGAGAGGGAAGAAGATAAAAGAAGTGGAATTGTCCCTCAACTCTCTCTAGAGAAAGTTCACTCTGAGAGCGATAGTGGACGTGGGGAGAGAAAAGGAGGAACAGAAACAGTGTGGCCTAGTGACAGAGGGCACTAGACAGGCATCAGGCCTGTGTTCCAGCACCCATGCACTGGCTAAACACGGGGCGGTCATATCCTCTGTCCTCTGGCTGGGCCAGTGTCCTTATCTGAAATTGGATTAGAAGCTTTGGAAGCTCTTTGTTTTTGAAAGAATTTTTTAGGGGGGTACTGGGGATTGAACTCAAGACTTTGCACTTGTTAGGCAGGCACTTAAGCCACTGAGCTTTCTCCCTAGCCCTGGGAGGCTCTTTCTTTGAGCAGTGCTGTTAAAGGTGGTGTCTTAGCTGACCAGCTCACCTTTGTCTTCTTTTCCCCTTTCCTTTGATATCGTACAGCTATGATGTGAGCTCTCCAGTCTCTTGCCCTCAGGCCAGGCTGCTCAGAAGCAGAGAAGGAGACAGGAGATGGGGCAGGCGTCCAAATGAGAGAAGGTTTGAGGCAGAATCCAGAGCCCCAGTACTATTCCTTCTTTCCTCAGCCTACGTGCACACCCTGCCCTCCCAGCCTCCCTTTGGAGGCACCCACCCTGCTCTGAGCAGTAATGTCTTGTTGAGTTATGCTACAAACAAAATATATTAAAACCAAATAATAATATTTTTTTTTAAATTGAACCTTGGTAGGAAATTGCTAATGCTGTAGGCAGGAAGAACGAGCTCATTTGACATGAGCTGATGTGTCATATTGTCTTTCCATCTCAATGCAACTTCTAAATAGGGAGCCCTCTTCCATCCCCCTCTCCCCTGCCAAGTCCCCAGCAGAGATGTGAAGGGGCTAGTAGCTGAATTGTCTGCTGAGAAGGCAGAGACAAGGAAACTGACCCAAGTGAATCTACTGCTTTGCCAAGTGGGTCAGAGCCCAGTGAAGCTCAGACCCCCCATACGCCTCTGATATCCTCTGTCCACCTTCCTCATCCCCACTTACTGAAGAATGTCTTTTTTTTTTGCCAGATTGGAGAGGGGGATCCAGAAAGCACATTATTTAGAGGTTAACCTGCACTCTTTTATGGAGCAAGGCCCCGACAATTGCCAGATCTTCTTAACAACACTGAGAACAGAACGGGTGGGGGCTTACAGCCTATCTTATAAGTGAGGAAATGAAATGAGTGATCCCTGGCCATGCAAGCTGAAAGATGCAGAGAACTCAGGCCTTCCGACCATAGATGGGTACCCCTTCTTTTACTGTGTTGGTGGAGGATGGCGGGGACATAAAAATAATTCTTTTAAAATGTTACAATATTTTTAAAATTACTTTATAAGAAAATGTAAAATGTTTGGAAATAAATTATAGAGCAGAGAGATGTATTCCTGTGCCTCTATGCAAAGTTTTGACTTTGAAATTGGCCATTCCGCTTGCCTCTTGGACTGAGTCGCTGGTCTGGCTGAAAGTTAGTGTCATTGTTAAAACACAAAATGGACCAGAAAACCTCGCCTCTCAGGACTTGCTTGGTTGCTTTACTTTTGACACCTCTGGGACTCCTCCAAAGACAGCGTGGAAAGTCTCTGCTACACCTGGGTTGTGTCCTGTGACCAGAGCCTAGTTTTAGAGGCAAGAGACAAGGCATAAGCCAAGATTCCTCTTGGACCAAGATTCCCGTGACTGAACTTGTTCCTCAGTGACCCTGGAGAGAGAGTTTACAATCTCGAGATTCTGGCTGTTGCGCTAATAAAAGCAAACTAGATAAAATGCCAACGCTAATTAAAGTGACAGATCTGAAAAGGCCTTGCCAAAACTGCGAATTCTTAACCCTTGGTTTTAAAAGAATTCAGGCAAAGAGAATCAACAGAGCATACTTTGGGGTCAGGGGCCTGAAGTCCCCTGAGGAACTGAGGGGCTGACACCTCTGGAGAGAGATAAAAAATCTGTTCACTAGATTTTAGTTTCCATCCATTCAGTGGAATAAAAATCTTTTCCTATCCCCGGCCCTAAGCCTTATCCATATTTCTACTATTTGCAAGATGCATAGTAATTGGTTTAAGTGAGTCAGCCCCAGACTTTTACTAATACTCTCCTTTGTATATTTGTAAGATATGGTACAGTTTACATAGTACTCTCACATGTCTCACTTTATGTTTGCAGCAACTCTGAGGGGTAGTTACTGCTCTTGTTTCACTGGTGAGGCTCCAGAGAGGCTAAAAAGAGCTGGCTCGGGATTCCCAGCCAGCAGGTAGCAGGGCCAGAGCTCACGCCTCTCTGCAGGTCCTTCATTCCCCTGTTCGTTCATTTGGCATTTGCTGAGGTTCTGAGAAGGCCTGTCCCTGCTGGGTGCCT